GAGAGAGAGAGATCTTATACGTAGTTTTAATAAATATATTCAATATATATTGTATATGGCACACACACAGATGGTTCACGACGGCGAGAAAAGTTGTCTCCACATGGGCAAATTTCTCATGCTCATTCTCAATCAGTTCAGTTTTGGGGGAATGTTTAGCGCTGGCTAGTGGAGTGGACTGGTTGATTGGTTCTCAAAAAGACGTCGTCTATATATATATAGGACATAGACATTATATAAGTAAGATTGTAGTGCTATAGTTTAAGAATTGCTTGTTACTTTTTGTTTGTTCAAATAGGTTTGGTTTAGGCTTAGCTTTTTGGGCTTTTGTGTTGGTCATTATTGCTTATTTTCGATTTCGATTTCGATTTCTGTTTGAATCTGTAATTTGAGCGATACTTTCTTTCTTGTCTGACTGTGAGTGAGAGTAGTAGTAGTGCTGCCTGCTGCCCCAGACAAGTTAGGAGGAGTAAATCTGAAATTTAGTGCACGTTCAGTTTCATTGGTTTACATAGAGCAGTAAGATATAGAATTGCAATTGGTTTGTGTTAAAAAAAACTCAAACATAAACAAATCATATTGAATACAAAATGCCTAGATATGTTTTGGTTTTTTTTTTTTTTATTGTTTGTAATTTGTAATTGTTTTTTTTTCGCAGCTTCTGGCACATTCAAAACTTACCAAATGGTCTCCAGCTTTTTGTGTTTAGAATGACCAAAACAATCTCTAGCAACAATATTGAGCTTATTCGATTCTCTGCAAAGACATTTCACCCTTAAGAATTATTCTAGCATTTTCTTTCGGTTTTTTTTTTATTTTTTAATGGTGAGTGTGTGTGGGTAGTTTTTGGTTGTTCTTAGTGAGACAGCAGGAAGGAAGAAATAAGAGCATTCAACTCAAGATTTGTTGATTCGGGGAGAAAGGGATTTCAATGAGTTCCATACTTTGGAGACTATACTTGATAAACTGAATACCAAAATCCACCAGTTATATAATATAAAAAGGTCTTATATATATATTTATATTGATTTCCTAATGTAAAAGTTTCACGTTTGTTGCATAATCTATCTGATAACCATTTCTGGGGATAGCGCTGCCACAAAAAAACACCTGTTTTTTTTTTTTCATTAGATAACACTTACATTTTGAGACAACTAATCTCTAGACCTTTAGAATATTTTTTTTTCCAAATTCTTTTCCTTGTTCAAATAAATCTACTTAGCTTTTCAATATACAAAAAAAAAATGTTTAACCGAAACAATGAACCTAAATAGTTTGCAATACATTTCTTAGATAAAATATTTGCTGGTAATTTCTGGTAATAGCTCTACTAAAAAATATCTTAAAATTCTTTAGAAAGAAATATTCAAAAGCCTCTTCAACTTTCAACTCAAACCTTAACCTATAATTCGAATATGATAAAAGAAATTTTTTTGATGGCCGAACATTTATATGTTGTTTAGTTATTTATTATTGCAAATTTAATCGGTTGTTACTATAAAATTCTAAGTAGACACGTACATAAATAAACTGAGATAGACTTACATTTCTACATTACTATTCTGATAACAAATAATAAAGTTTATATAGGGTCAAAGTCTAAATATGTAATGATCTTATTTTAAAATTTACATGGCCTTGCAAATTTTGTGTCTATGCTTAGATCGCCGATAAGATAAGGAAATAAAACTTTTTACTAAAAGTTTAGTTCAGTCAGTAAGGAATACATATATATGGTTTCACACACTTTGAGGAAGATCTTACTTTAAATTTTTAAAACCAACTCCATATTTTTAGACACTTGTTACACGTTTTTGATGCCCTTGCAACCCTGCAAAATATTTTGCACCCCACTGTACACACCCTATCCATCGGCAGGAGGAAAATAAACAACACATACCCACACACAGGAAGATTTTCCGTAGACTAAGTAATTCTGTATGCACGCAGTCAGTCAAGTATGAAAATAACTATACAAAAAATACGAAAATCGGCCGCGTTTTGTCTGCCGATTTTTAATTTAACAACAAAATTAGGTTAAAAATCGATTTAAGACCACTTAGTATGCATCATGTGCATGTGTGTGTGTGTGCCCGAGACGACGACTTACATACAAACACAAAATGCACGTACGCACACAAGCGCGCCTGTGGGTGTCTATTTGGGAAAAGAAGTATACAAACATACATATGAAGTAACTGTTTTCTATTTTCGCATCAAAATATTCGCATTTGGTTTTAACAAAAACCAGCAGGTCTTAATTTATACGATAATCGCCTAATTTTAGGTATAGGAAACTTACGTTTTTCTGGTACGGCGCCTCGAGCATCGCCTCCACATCAAAATCCTCGGCCATGCTTAAAATTTCCTCGGTTCTCTTTCCGCTGCTGTGCGGGTGCTCCGTGAAAAAAGTCCCCTTCTCTGCTTCTGGCTCGTTTGGAGAAATCAAAATGGGGTGGGAACGCACAGCGGAATTCGCAAGACCACTTACGAACTTTTTTTCCGACAATTGCGTTTATTAAATTATAAATTTTGTGAATTTTCCACTAGATTTTTTCTCTAGCGTGGCTACTTGTTTTCGGCTTCAGGGTTGTCACAGACTTATCGATGGCGGACAATCGATAGTACTACTCGCGGTATAAATGGTATTTTTTAACAGATTTTTTGTTAGGGGCATTCCTACAATTGATTTTTATTCTAAGTGTATTCCGGTAAATCTATAAAATTTTGAGAAACTTCCCACAGAGCACCATCCACCGTTTAACATCTCTTTCAAAGATGGTAAGTAAAGTTTTGCCGTGCCAAAAATGATCCGGTTGTTCCGTAAAGGTGGAATTAACGTTCATAACCGCTCATTTCTAGCCGATATTTAGCTCATGTTTTTTCGTTGCAACTCTAAAGTCTTGGCGCGAAAGAATTTGACCTGACGTGGCTGCCGTCTTTGTTTCTGTGAACCAGTGGCGTAGTAGCAATTTGTAGCCATAACATATTTTTTAAAAGTTCAGACAACCTTTTAACAACTAATCCATAGCATGAAGATAAAAACCGGAAAAGTACTTCTAAAAGAGTTTGGTAGTGAAAAAGAGTGGAGGTGAAAGTCCACCATCCATTAATAATCCCATCCGTTTCGTTTGGATGGGCTCTTTGGTACTGGGCTATTATAGCCCCCTTCCACAGAGATCCATCCACATTCCTTTGACTAGCCAAAGCTGTTCAGGACAGCTGGAATCGGAAAGTACAAGGTAAATGTGCTCTGAAATCTGAGTTTCATAAATGTCAAACTGTGTGAATAGAGGTCATTAGGGAACGGGCCAAAATTAACCTACGAAAGTGAATTGTTCGTTTGGGACTCACAAACATGTTTTGTCTTTATCTTGTAAATTACTAATTTGAACTACTTCACCATGACCATGTTTCAAAATTCCCGATAAAATTGTTTACCAAATCTAGAACATGTTGCAACTACATTTTTCAGCACTCTTTCTCCGATCCCAAAGAGAATAAAATGATGACTAGATCGGAAAAGAAAAAAATGGTATATACCAAAATGAAAAAATTAATAATTCAATGATTTTCAATTTATTCCAACCAAATAAAACTCAAATGATTTTCGGCAATATTGTTATATATTTTTGTAAATCGAATTGGTGCAACTTGCTCAACATATTGCATGTTGAGTTTCAACGAGGCGCAACATCTAACAGCTGATATGGTTGTCCGATTTTTTAAAAATTCAAAACGCAAATTACAATGTCTTCAATAAAAAAAAACAATAAAAATAAATATTTGTATATGTATCAACTACTTAAATGTTTTTAAGTAACTAACAACTCCAATACATAAAATTCAAAGCGAACAAATTTTAAATAAAATACATAATATATAAATAATTTTATTACGTTTTTTTTTATCAGTTTAATCAAAATAATGAAAAAACATTACCTGTATGCTGGCGTTCTTAAAAGCTTAAGAATTCCTCGAGCTTTGTCAATGTAACAAGCCGATTCGATGCATTGAAAAAAATCCTTTACGGCAAGTTGAAAGGTGTGGGCTGCACAATTCACTGACTTTATAGAGTGAATTTGGATATTGGTCAGAAGTCCTTCTTTATCGGGATCCTCACCAGAAACTTCCTCGTTGTCTGCATCCTCATCATCGCAGCTGTTTAAAAGTTCCACTGGTTTACCATGTTCCTTTCGTTGTCCGTCGTAATGGTGTAAATTTGGTCTTTTGAAATTAAAAATTCTATCTATATAGACTTATTTTCAGAGCAAAGTTTCGGGAGGTGTGCGACGCCCTTAACTTAAATTTTACCATTGTCGATGAATTACACGTTTATACCGGGAATCCCGCGATTGCACCTTGTTGTCGTGTCAGTTTTTAAGCAAATGATTTGGTTTTTTAGGGTCTGGACCATTTCACCCTTTTACGAGCTCTATTTCTCCTCGACTAAGCTCATAACATTTCTCGATGTTTAAGATAGATATATAAATCGTTTACCTTCTAACTGACATTTTAAAACAAGCGCCGAAGTAATTGGACCGAGTTGGCAGTAGACGGGGATGAGCAAACTTGCACAAATTTGATCGATATACTCGTGTTTGTTAGTGTTATCGATATAAATTCGTCACACATATGTTATGTAGAAAAAATTAAAAATATTCGTTAAAAAAATACAAATATGCAGAGAAAAATTAAACAAATTTCAGAAATATATGTATTTAAATAGATTTATTAGAAACAAATAATAAATAACAAATAAATAAAACATAAATAATAAATAAATAAATATATACAAAAATGTTGATGAACCATATTTAATATTTTGAATTGAAACCTACTCATGACTTATATACTTTAAATCGGAATTAGTTCGGTAAAAGTAGTTTTTAAACGACATTATTTTTTTTATTTTGTTTTGAAATTCAAATCGAAATCGAAAAAAGCCTAGAGCATTGTACAAAACTATCGATGATTGAAAAAGATTGTAGAACATCGGCCTATCGAAATTGCTTCCAGCTCTAGTTCAATACCATCACAAGTCGAAAAGCAGCTAAATTCTGTTGGTAAACATACGTAAAAAGAGATCTGGCAATTAATGCGCCAGCATGCAACCAGTTGATTGCAGTTTCCCAGATAAAGAGAGCGAGAGCCTGGCCAAGATTGAATGGATTTAGGGTTCATCCGCAGCGAAAAGCGGAAAGCAAGCACCTTCTACTGCTGTTGAGTCATCAGTTTTTGGTCAAAACAGCCACAGAACAAGGCCATCAGTGGTTAGAACCACCCATCTTACTACCTAGGCAATAAGAGAGTCGCAGGTGAGCCACAGGTGAGAGGCGTAGTCTTCGTCAAGGATGGCGTAAGCCGATCCAACGTGCCACCACCCCATCACGATACCAATCGTTTGCGTTACGCGTCGCTGCCTAGGTGTGTCTGAACTGCGACTAACTTTCGACTACGTTTGCAGAGGCAGAGCACACACACCCCGCAGTAAGCCAAAAACCAACCCATTTCGGCAGTAGCCCCAATGGAGGACTACAAGTTCCTGTTCAAAATCGTCCTGGTGGGCAACGCGGGCGTTGGAAAAACCTGCTTGGTGCGCCGCTTTACCCAGGGCCTGTTTCCGCCTGGCCAGGGAGCCACCATCGGCGTGGACTTCATGATCAAAACTGTGGAGGTAGAGGGCGAGAAGATCAAGCTGCAGATCTGGGACACCGCCGGCCAGGAGCGGTTCCGCTCCATCACGCAGAGCTACTATCGATCAGCCCACGCCTTGATCCTGGTCTACGACATTAGCTGCCAGCCCACATTCGACTGCCTGCCGGACTGGCTGCGCGAAATTCAGGAGTATGCCAACTCCAAGGTACTCAAGATTCTGGTGGGGAACAAGACGGACCGGGATGATCGCGAGATACCCACGCAGATTGGCGAGGAGTTTGCCAAACAGCACGACATGTACTTCCTGGAAACGTCCGCCAAGGAGGCGGAGAACGTGGAGCGGCTGTTCTACGAAATAGCCGCCGAACTGATTGGTCAGGCACGAAGCAAAGATGGCAGCGGTTCCGCTGCAGCGGCGGCTGCCCAGCGGCAGTCGGAGGGCAATTCCATCGGACTGGGAAGCCTCAGTGCCAAGGCAGCGCAGAGCAATTGCTGTGGCGGACTCGCCAGCGGCGGCGGTGGCGGCGGCTCAAACTCTAGTCAAGCGGACTGAGCTGCAAACGGAACTGGAAACTGAGCAGCTAATATATATAACTATATATAAGAACTAATCGTGATATTCCATTGATCTTTTATTACCATCACAAGCTCCCCCAATCTAACGACTCTAATTTACTAGTTATCCGACTTTTGTTCTATTTCTAAGGTGCGAAGAAATGTGAAAGCTGACTAATTGACTAATTGTGGACAATCTGTTGATCTTTTGTTATCATCTATGATTTTGTTATTGTTGCTTTCACAAAGCAAAATGTGTTAAACAAATAATTGGTTAGATTCCACTCGACCAAGCAATTCGTTAGAGTTCACTTCAACTGCAATATCCAGAAACAATAGTACAGAATTTAAGATTGTAATTATTTAATATTGTTGGATTACTACGTATCAAGATTTAGATCTGTTTCTGTTAGTTGAGGGTCAATCGTAATATTGCTTTGCAACTTTGAAATATTTTAAGCAAAGCGCTCTCAACTAAAACAATTTTTTTTTTATAAGTTTCACAGGAAACCTCCACCATATTTTAAATTTAACACCTTTACTTTTTAGACCCCGAGTATCACGATTAAGATCTACTGCAAAACTAGCTGATAATGACTATGGATGCTAAATATTTGTGTTACAATAACTTCATTGGAAGTGTCGTTTGTAAGCGCCTGATTTTCTTTATTAGTATTACAGCAAAGTATTGATCCGATTGTGGATCATTTACCAATTGAGCATCACAGCCAATGCTTCAAAGAATTTATGATATCAACCAAGCTATTCACACAATTCGGTTTTAGTTCGATTGTTTCTAAGGAGTATTGCGTATTTTATACATTACATTTTTTGTATACATACAATTTATGCATATTTATTTGCAACTATTTTAAAATATTTTTATGATTAATGTGCAATTATCTGTAATACAATTTTTACATAGTACTCGTAATAGTGTTTAAGGAGATTTTATGACATTCCAAAAATTAAACATGTAGAAACTATGGGATAGGCCAGAGATAAATAAAAAAACGAAATAATCTACTATTGTAATGGTTTAAAAATGTTGTGACTTTGCCCTATTTCACTTATTTCGAATAGTTCAATCTTTGTATTTTGTGTTCAGTTTCGGTACGATCATGGAGTTGTTATAAACTTTATTAACCACATACAGTTTATATTTTATCATTTAAGCTGAGACAAACAATCCCGGTTCTTTCCACTTTACCTTCCATTAATTTGCTTTAGTTGTCGGGTGAAAATATTATTTTCAGTGAGTGTAATACAAATTGACACAAATTTTGTATTTTTGTCTTGGTTTTAGTTCCATACTGAGTCATTAAAAAATAAATAGACGAAATAGTGTGTCCTAGATTGCGGGGCATAAGTCTGAGTACCAGAAGTCTTCAAAAAGTGCCGCTTCAAACAGTTTGGTTTTTAGCAAACCGAATTAAGCTTAAAGTGTTACCTTAGTGTTACACTATCAATTGAACTGGCTTATTTTTGGAAAAATGTTGTTTGAAATTATGTTTCTTTATGCTGAGGAAAAAGTGCCGTAATTTGCTTTATGCAACAGAATAACAATCCACAGCTTACAATTACGGGGGTCTTCTACTCACGCAGTTTCAAAAACTCGATTTTTTTTAACTTATTAAATGCACAGCAAAAAGGGTATTGTCGAAATAATATTTTTTCGCATGTTTCTGAAACCCGAAAGGTACAAATTTCAATCAAGTTATAAACTGTAATTTATCCTTTAAGTGTTTTTTTAGCCGACGAGTAAGTATTTTTATAGAAGAACTATTCCGATTATAATAATTTTTTTTCAAACTGTTCACAAAAAATACCGTTATTTGGCCGAGTACGATTTTTGACATTTTTGTTCCGTTTTTATATCCCTTAATATGTAACAAAATGACTTAAAAACTGCATTTTTCACTTAGTGTTGCATTACTTTTGCTTAATAAAAAAGATCTGCCTCGGGAAAAACGAAGCCGACGTAACAACGAATCTAAAAAAAAAAAATTTCTCGCCTCGAGAGTATAAGGCCCCTTAAAGAGCTAAATAAGTTAGATCAAAAACGGTTCAATAAAAGGAATTGGCCTGCAGGTTGAATCCTAATTTAAGATGTGAGAACAGACAATATAAATAATAGCCTCTACATTATTTGAAACTTTGGGCAGCTAAGGAAACTTTCGCCTGTAGCGACACTAAGCAACACTAGAAACTATACTTTCTTTAAACTTGAGTTTACTCACTTATATATATACATATATTGCAGGAGGTATTGTAATTTCAGTCACAAGTTTGCAACGCAGTTTGATCAGCATCAGTCTTTAAGTTTTAAAACTACATATCTGCATGACACTTTCCCAAAAGTTGTTTTCCTGTTGCAGGTACTATACTAGTTGGAACGAGCCGAATCGGACGACTTTATCATATCGCTCCCATAGGAATAATCGGGAAAAAGATTTAAAAAGTATAATATTGCAGTTTTTTAATGTTGTTTGTTGTTCGTAATAAAGGTTTATTATTTTAGAATTACGGGTTAAATTTGATTAAAATCATATAGCTTCCATGAGAGCAATCGGAATATAATAATATAAAAATTCAATGAAAACTAAATTTAAACTGCTCTAATTTTATTTTTTTTTTTAATTCTATTGGACAATGGTTTGATAATTCATAGTAACGCTTTTAATTTTATTCAAATTGGAAATTGTTATCATATAGCTGTCATAGGAATGTTCAAATAATTTAGCTGAAAATCATCATAGCTTCAATGTTGTTTAAAATATACGCACATAATTCAAAATTTATGTTTTAAAAAATATTTAATTTTTTCAATAGCTGCAAGGGTATCTGCTTTCTCTCTTGTTTTCCTTTTATCAAGTCAAACACTGCTTTTCTCTGATCAAAAGTTGGCAGCACTGCCGGTGGCAGTTTTGTTTAAAATAAGCGCCAAATGACACCGCATGACCATGGTTCGAATCCGATGCTCCTTTTAAAAGTTGTTAAAAAATATACTTGTGCTATAAGTGCTTAAAATATTTCGTCTAAATACAAAAATTACAACTTTACGGCTGCATGAATTAAAAACTTTTTTTTTATTAAATCAGACATAAATGCATATTTATTATAGTTTTTATACAACTTTTTTATATACAAAAAAATATTTTGTCCCCTTTCAGAGTATATTTAAATATTAGTTCAAAGTTTACAACGCAGTTAAAGAGGTATTTGAATTTATATTTGATGAACCTTGTACATATGTACATAAATGTGATTTCAGTGACACCACGGAAGCGAATGTCAAAACTCAATAGGAAAGTCCAGACAGATATTTATCAATGTAGCGAACTTAATTTACTGAATTAAAACCATATTTATGAAAACGTAACAAAAACACTTAATCTAGATAAAAACCTTTTCCCTCTAATCGTATGTGTTTTCTTTTAAAAACATAAATTCTTAATAAATTTTAAGATAATAATTCTTAATAAATTTTTTAGTCAACACATTACTAACACATTTTTCTTACATCTGCTGGGGTATATAAAACTGGAGTTACCACAGATAGTTTCGCTTTCTTAAAAAATATGTAGAAAAAAATTTGAACTAGAACTCTTGTTTAAAAATCCATGGAGACTCAAGGTTTTTCCAGGCGGGTGAGCAGATTAGAGCAAAAATTACTCCATTCTAGTTCAGAGTTGAGGAAGCTCTTCCATTTCAATTTGAAAGGCTCACAAAAATCACTAAGTTGCTGTGCCCACAGAACATTGTTCTCTATCACTTTGAGGTTGAGAAACTGAGCCAAAGAGTTTTGATTGCATGAAAAATATATACTTCCAATATATTTTAGCTGTAGGTCTAAGGCAAGACTATTAAGATGGGTACCATTGCAGATAGTGGTATTTCCAGTTTTCCTTTTGTAACTTTCCTGCAGCTTGTCGATCTCCTTGAACAACTGACTTCCCCAAATTTGAGCCATATAACGTTCCATCAATCTTATCCAGGGTTCAGTTTCGGTACTGAAATCCTCCAGGCGACTTTTGGCGTCAGCAATCATTTTGCGCACTTGTTTTCTGTTTGAGAGCGAGGAAGTGAACTCAAAATCGAGAAAGGCGACCTTGGAAGTAGTTTTGATCACTTTTCCTCTGATAATCCATTTTTCCGCTGCAGAAATCTGACCGCCCCGTCTGAACACCATTACCTCCGACTTTTCCATGTCCACCGCCAGTCCCCATTTGATGCAGAACTTTTCCAGCCGATTGATCATATCTTGAAGCGCTCTAGTGCTTTCAGAAAGAATGGCGACTTTGTCAGCATACATTAGAATGCTTATTTGGCGATTATCGATCACAAGTCCTGGTTCTCCCTTTAATTCCTCGGCAAGATCGTTTAAATAAAGGGTGAAAATCAGTTCCGAAAGAACTCCACCGCCGATTTGAAAGTAGTTGAAAAGTTCATCTTGGTTATGTTTATTTTTGTACACGAGTCTTAAATAGTTTACTATTTTTGACGACACTCCCAGCTTTTGAAGTTTTATCCACAAGAGTTTTTTGGGCATTTCTGGGTGTACCGATTTGAAGTGAACAAAATACGAGTATACTTTCGTTCCCTTTTCGGCCAACTTCAGACTTGCAGCAGTACTTAAAATGTAAACAAAGTCCACCTTCGAGGACTTTCCCGAAAAACGAAACTGACAATCACTTAGGATGCGGTTTTGTTTGCACCACCTGGTCAGCCTCCTCCTCACTATGTTGAGTAGTATCTTTGCTAGATCAGATTGTGAGTATATATTCGAAACGACGGTTTTGTTTCTATTCGGTTCGTTGAAAAGATCATTACACTGCAGTGTTAATCCGTCAATTATGTCTTTCAGTGCATTTTTCGATAACTCAGGCCAAGAGCTGTGCCTAAGGACAAATATTGCTTCCTCGGCTCTTATATTACAGTCCAAAGATGGATCAGTCACTTCGATATTCGGATCAAATGAGACGACATTGTTATTCGTTGGCTGAGTCAGTGGATAAACTCTTGGCCTCCTGGCGGCTTGACAGTTTCGCAGGAAGTCAAGGTCCACTTGTAGGCATATGGGCAAATGATCGGACCCATGGCGGGTTTGCCCCACTTCTGGCTTGTCCACCTTGAAGTCCACCACCGACGCCATGAGACCCTGACTAACTGCGGCTATGTCGATGGTGGAATTGCCCACAGCACTGAAATAGGTGTAGCTTCCTGCTGAATCGCCGTGGGTCAGGCCATTCAGGATTTGCAGCTTGTTTTGGGTGCAAAAGGAAATAAACCTGCCTCCTCTCTCCCTCTTTTTGTCGTTGGCAAGTCGACCGTTTGTGTTGGCCACACAGGGATTGGGCTCCACTGCCTGTTTAAGTTCCCCGATTCGCACATTCACATCGCCCATTACAATGGCGTTCTCAAGCGAGAGTTCACTGTTCTCAAAGGCTCGTCTTACGGGCTCGAACTCTGCGTCCCAACCCACAGTATGGATGTAGAGTGGAACTATGCTCAGTTGCCTTCTCTCCAGGCGAAGCTGTAGAACTTTTAAGCCATTTGCTTCAGCAACTGAGTGAGTTATTCCGAGGTCCCTAAGCGACTTTCTAATGCCCACTATACACCCACCAATTCCTCTGCCTCGTCGGAACACCTTCGTTGCATCCTTCCAATGCAAGAACTCAAAGTCGGGCTGCTGTTCCTCGAAGATTTCGGTGGCTGGGGCTTCGGGAAGCGTGTGGGTTTCGAGTAATATATAGATATCAAAGTTACCGAGATACTCCAAAAATGATCTATCCAGGTGCTTCCCCTCCAGACCCCTGATGTTATACGAAGTGATGTTCAGTGACTGGAGTGACCAATTACTTGTCCTGCTGACGGCCATTATTAGACTTCCGTCTCCAACTGGTGACTAACCTGCATTTGTAGTACGAAAACAAACTGATAAGACTGAGAAAGATATCGGCTTCTTGTGAAATTCGTCTTTAATTGTTCCTAATTACTTGAATCTGGTGAAATCCGCCCTATCTTTATTTTTATATCGCCCTTTATATTTTATATCTAAGGTACTAAATCTTTGTAATTCTTTCTGATTGGAAATAATAAAAACACTGCTTTGTCTGGCCGTGAATTCCCCTTTAATGCTGTCGATCGATTCTGCTTCAAACTATCGATTTATGTATAAATACCGGGTTCCAATCTGGTGAAGTCTTTGTATATCTTTCTGATTGGAATTAATAAAAACACTGCTTTGCCTGGCCGCGAATTCCCCTTTAATGCTGTCGATCGATTCTGCCTTAAACTATCGATCGATGTGTAAATATCTGGTTCCAATTGGAATGGAAGAGAACCAAGCTAAGGCATTCGTTTACATGGAAATGTAAAATACTGAACATTTAGGGCATTCAACTAGCCTGCAATTGTGTTAAAACACAGTGGCAGTCAGCTTTCAAGAATTGTATAAAATTAAATAAATAATACTTTGACTGCCCAATAAAAGAAGAGACAAGATACCGTGCATGAGTACAAATATTATTGATAGAGGACAATTCTGATCAACAAAAATTAAATTAAATTAATAACTCAAAGAAGAAAAGTTTGGATATGGTTAGTAAACAGTTATACCAATTTAATAGTTTTCATAATGGGAAAACCGGTTTGTTGTAGATTACAATACTTCAAGACATAAGCCTTTTTATTGTTTTTCAAAAAGTACTTGGCTTAATAAATAATTAAATTTTTGATAAAAAAAAAGTGACAAATCGATTTATTAACGTTTTCGTAATTATATTTGAGGCGTACAATATTGTTTTCGCGTTTTTAACTGTTTTGGCCTTCTTAATTAAATAAAAATGGTGTTAAAACTTGCAACTCTAAGGGGCTTTTTTTTAACTTTATATTCTATATCTTTGAAATGTACAATATTTTTATGATAATTATTGTAATGAATTCCTTCTTAAAAAATATTTTTATAAAACTGTGGACTGCGTAGTTTTTGCGACAATTGGACATTTTTGAACGAAACTTCAGAAACGTGGTACAAAAACTAGGCTTCAGATAATATTTATATATATAATATAAAGACTGAACAGAATAAAGCAATTTGTGAACATATTAAATTTATAAAAATCAAAGAGTCTTAAAGGCCTAACTATCCTTTCCCTAACAGCATTTGATTATGATAAAATAGTTTTTCTATGCTAATTTGATACTAAACCAAAAGTACATTAGTCTTAGTACAGTCAGACGTTGAAATAATTTCACGAAATGTTGTGAAATTGGCAGACATAATTTCAATTATTAAAAATCGCTTGTGTGTCCGTTTTATATTTATATTAATTCATCTCAAAAGTTTCCATGCATGAAACCTCAAAAAACATTCAAAATTGGTATTTCCCACCAGCTTATGCTGAAAAATCGTTCTGTTTTGCATTCATTTGTAGATCAAATCACGTAAACTGGAATTAGAAGCATCATGATGATTTGGCAGCATTATTGTTTAGACCTCAAATGAAAAGTTAAATTAACAGCATTACTCTTAGGAAATAAAATATTTATTTACTAGATTTCTTTTCATTCAAATAATTTAATATTAGCAACAGTTTTCGGATATTTTGCGTATTTTTTAAATCCTTTTTGAAGTGCTGCGAATACCAACATGAAACTAGGTCGAATACGGTCTACTTAACAATTACCGAAAGTCAGTATAAAATCAAAAAAATAATTTTGATAACAATACATTTAATTATTCAAATTAACTAAAAAGCCTCTCTTGAATACAAACTCCTAAGATTAGGCTTTCAACAAGTCATTGGTGGGCCAATATCAGTCCAATATTTTTATGATAATTATAATAACGAATTCCTTCTTAAAAAATATTTTTATAAATTGGAAATCTTTGAAATTGGAAATTTTTGAAATTGGAAATTTTTGAACAAAACTTCAGAAACGTGGTACAAAAACTAAGCTTCAGATAATATTTATATTTAATATTAAAGACTGAACAGAATAAAGCAATTTGTAAACATATTAAATTTACAAAAATCAAAGAGTCTTAAAGGCCTAAAAGCATTTGATTATGGTTAAATAGCTTTTCTATGCTAATTTTATACTAAACCAAAAGTACCTTAGCTCTGGTACAGTCAGACGATGAAATAATTGTTAAGACCTTAAATAAAAAGTTAATTTACACTTAGGAAATAAAATAATTATTTACTAGATTTCTTTTCAATCAAATAATTTATTATTAGCAACATATTTTGGATATTCTTTATTCTTTAAATCCTTTTTAAAGAGATACGAACAACAACATGAAACTAGGCCGAATACGGTCTAATTAATAAATACCTAAAGTCCATATAAAACCAAAACAATAACGTTGATAACAATACATTTAATTATTAAAATTAATTAAAAAGCCTCTCTTGAATACAAACTCCTAAGACTAGGCTTTCAACAAGTCATGAATTCCTTCTTAAAAAATATTTTTATAAATTGGATATTTTTGAACGAAACTTCAGAAACGTGGAACAAAATCCAGGTTTCAGATAATATTTATATTTAATATTAAAGACTGAACAGAATAAAGCAATTTGTAAACATATTAAATTTACAAAAATCAAAGAGTCTCAAAGGCCAAAACAGCATTTGATTATGGTAAAATAGCTTTTCTATGCTTATTTGATACTAAACCAAAAGTACCTTAGCTCTGGTACAGTCAGACGATGAAATAATTGTTTAGACCTCAAATAAAAAGTTAATTTACACTTAGGAAATAAAATAATTATTTACTAGATTTCTTTTCAATCAACTAATTTATTATTAGCAACATATTTTGGATATTCTTTATTCTTTAAATCCTTTTCAAAGAGAAACTAGGCCGAATACGGTCTAATTAATAAATACCGAATGTCAGTATAAAATCAAAAAAATAACTTTGATAACAATACATTTAATTATTCAAGTTAACTAAACAGCCTCTCTTGAATACAAACTCCTAAGATTAGGCTTTCAACAAGTCATTGGTGAGCTCCACGCCGAAGAAAACCGCAGCGGTGGAGGGAAAGGCACGCAGTAAAATAGGGAGAATTCCGCGAAACAGAGCTTTGGGGCCTTCTGTGGCCATAAGGTCCCTAAACACGCTTCGAATGCCGTGCTTGTAAGTGCCCTCAGGTGCTGCAATTGGGGCATTTATACATAAATCCTGGCCAACAGAGCGATTTGTGAGTGCATGACGGTGACTCACCTGACTGGAGACGACTTTTAAGTACATCGAAGGGCACGGCCAAAGTCCAAAACACAATGCCAGCCGTTCCGCCGGACAGAATCGTAGATGCGGTGCTAATCTTCCCTGTCTTGGACTTCTTCCTGGCCATTTCCTGAAGGAACTCATAGGTCACGAAATAGAAGCCGGTGGGCGAGTCTGGGCTTACAGAATAGTATTACTAATAGGGCAAACAGCATTACTAATCCACAACTCACCTCGCAGAATGCAGGCGCAGGTGCCCTTGAAGAGACTTCGGATCCCACCCTGCCGATAAAGCTTGGCGGCCGTGTCGATGGTCCCATTGTACAGCAGGGGTCCACTGGTGACGGCCTGTGTCTGCAGCAGGACCTTTATCCGGTCGGTGGGCACTGTGACGAGGGCTGAGCAGACTCCCGCCAGCGCTCCGGCCACAAAAATCTGTGGGTAGGTGAGCCGCAGGTGCTCGTCTGTTTGGAACAGCCGCTTGCCTGCAGCATAGACCGCAAAGTCCACGGCATAGAGGGGTGTGACGCCGACCAGAGGAGCCGAGATCCCTCTGTAGAATCCCCGAAATCCCTCCTGGCGTAGAATGCGGGCGGCACAGTCCACGACGCCCTTGTAGCGGGGCGGTTGCCCCGGCAAGGGCGTGGGCATGGTTTGTAGGCGCACCTAGAATGAAAAATGATAATTACATCGGCAGTTTGGTGGATTTACGAGCTCACCTTAATGGTGTCCAGCGGATGGCCGACGATCACATTGCACATGCCACCCACGCCGCCCGCAATGAAGGATTTTACGGGGTTGGACTTCTTGGCCGTTGCGATCTCCACGTCCGTCATGGCGGCACTTGGTTACTATTTACGTAAACCCAAGGGGGGATTCCGTCAGCCTCTCAAATGGGCGCACGTGTTCGATGATTGGGGGCTTACAATAGCGCTACCGAATGGTTGTCGTTATCTGCTTTTCGCGAGGTTGCTGACCTATGGTAATGCTGTGTGTTTCCAAAAAGTGCGTGGGTTCTACTTCCATGATCAATTGGCGCTGCTCTTATCTATTCGAAAACATTACATTTGATTTTACCTGTTAGAGGTGGACCATCATCGATACTGACGTGGTGTTTAACATCAGTAGGAATCGGTGTTTTCCCATCCCTTAGACGTCGTTACATGCGGAATGTGTCTCAACTACCTGTGTCTCCACTAAATGCAGCGGGTATCCCTACCTCTATTGCTAAATGTTGTGTCTCTGTTAGCGGCGGAGTAAGTATTTGCTATTTGTGGATTGAGTCTTGGATATTCGCGGAGTACGTCTCCACTACATGCGGATGTTAAGTTAACATCACGTTAACATTGAATCGATAGATGGCAGTGACAGAGACAATTATATGTAAACGGCTTGACATTTCTTTGGTAATAAGTTCACGGTTACACCGCCTTTTTAACATTAAATTCAAACGTTATTGTTTTGTTTATTATATTGTGTTTATACCGCAACTATTACAAAAATTAAACTTTTTTTTAAAACGACAATATTTTAGGAGGAGATTGAGCAAATCATAGAAATGTTGTAACAAATCGGAAAATCGTATAAAATGGATTTTTAAAACATTTTCTGGGTGTTTTTTGTTTTCTAGATTTTTATTGGTTTTTTAGTTTTCCAGTTTTTTTTTAATTTTTCATAAAATGTTAGTTTTTTTTTCTTTTATCCAGTCAACAAAAGCTTTTTTTCCTCATTAAAAGTTGGCAGCACTGACTAGCTCATTTCATTTGATTCTTTTCCGGCAAACACTCATTCCTCGCCTTTCTTTCGTCTCTGCCTATGGAGAAATTTGTTCTTAAGACCTGCAATGTGCAGGAAATGAACGCAGGGGTAGGAGGACCTGGATCGAAATTTGGGTAATGGGACCACGGTGGAGCTACTGGGAATCTGATCAGGTATGCATCAAAGTACCGGAATGCAGGATAGATTTTTTCATACATATATTTTCATAAAAACAGAATTATTAAAATTTTTTCCTATTACAGCCGCCAAAGCATTCTCATTTTCAAGGAGCTTTCAGGACTTGTAAGTTAATATATTATTATTATAATTATTTATTTATTTATTATTATTATTTATGAGTATCAGAGATATTACCGGCATCGGATTTCACGCCCCCTAAGCTAAAATTCTCGGACACCTAAGGGGATTTCGATGTTGAGTCGGATAGCAGGAATTTGCATTTTGCATCGAATACTATAGAAACCAGGGCACCCAAAATAACACACAAAGTGCAAAATATGCAAATTATAAAAAAACTATGACGATTTATTTAAAAAAATATAATTTTTATTTAATTTTAACTTTTATAATTCTTCTTCTTAAGTTGTTCAAGCTTGATTTGTTTCTACTCTGGTTGCCTCGGGATCGAAGCTTTTAAAACTGATCTTCTCTATTCCGAAGTTAAAAACCAAGTAGGATTGCTGTGATTAAAATTTGGAAGCAAACGCGATGCATAAAATATGGGATCGCGTTGTCATAATTCTAGCGGATTTTTAGTCTTAACTTTATTTAAGTTTATTTGTTTACATCTGCCTCAAGCTTGAGACACGTTTGTTTATTGGGTACGAGTGTGAGAATGTTTATGCGATAAGAACTTGTGAAAACTCAGCAGAAAGGTTTGGCAAAATAAATTGTTTACATTATTAATAGGAACAATGGATTAAAGTTTTAGTTAATTTACATATTTCTTTTTACGAAGCCTGATAAAAACACAATTGAAAAATAGCCAAAACACGGCAGTTATAGGCCTTCGATCTGCTTTTTTGTTTCCGTTCTCAAACATGGTCTGGGTAACCAAAAAAAAGACGATTACGAAAGTTCCAAGACTCAAGATTTTAAACAAAGATCGCAATGGGTATACGGTAAAGAAACATACGGACTTCTGACCAATTTTGATAAACAAATAATGACAAAAACACAAATATTAAATTTTGTAAAATATGTACAAATGTTTAATTGGTATTTTCAGTAAACAAATAAAAAAATATACCACTTGAATTCTTGTGCTACTTGGCAAGTTTTTGATTTTCGTTTTTTATTTTCTAAACACCCTATAGATATATGTCACTTTTTCAAACCAATTATTTATTATTCACAAGGAGAAACGAACACTTTTCAAATTTCCCGTTCGATCACACAATTTTATCGTAATTCTTCGATACCAAATTCCTAACGACAATCGCAGAACCATGCGCATGCATTAGGGTCCTTTAATTACGAACCATCTAAACACAAATTTATCGATACCAAATAGCGATCGACAACCGAAGCGAAAAGCAATTACTTCTTGCTTGTCGAGAATTGTTATTTCGATATATTTGAAGAACACATTTTTCAGTGCTGGAGAACGGCGCAGAGTGATTTGTAGTGAGAGTAGCGCGGTGATTGCCACCGATGCCATTCACAAGAAACTCAACCTACTAATTCTCGACTGCGCGTGTGAGAAAGTTCCCGTCGGCCGTCCCCATCCGAGTTCCGACGTTTTCCAACACAGCAGCGCGTTAAGAAGAAGAAGAAGAACCTCAGGTCATGTTCGAGCGTTAAATGTAAATAGTTGGCAATTGTGGTTAGTGAAGTGGATGGCCAAGAAGCTCTTGGCGCAGTGCAGGGTGGCCGAAAACCGGAAACCATTTGCCCAGCTGCTGTGGATAACGAAAACGATAAAACCTCGAACATTTGCTGTGACCTGACGCAGAAGAAGAAGAAGACACGGAAGCAACAACAACAACAACAACATCAGCAGCAGCCCAAATTGTTGCGTATTGTTTTTTTGTTTTTTCAGTGGGTTTTGGGAGCGAATTTCGTAAAAAATAGCGTGCTGCAAACATACGCAAAACTTATGTCTGATAAAAGTGCGAAGGAATTATGTATCAGTAAGAGTGCGAGCTGCAGCAGCAGGCGCAAGAGAAGAAAGTGAGCGAGAAACGCAACGAAAAGTATATAATCCGTCACCAGGCAGGCAACGTGCTTTGTTGAACGATGTCCCATGGCGAGGATGTGTTAGACAACTGGGAGGAAATCGACGAGGCGGGGGTAAGTGCCCTCCATTGTTCCATTTCCGCACATCTAAGTGACATCTAACGCCCCCCCCCTTTCCCAGCTTTCCATGACTCTGCAAACAAAGCTGCAGGCGAGCGACCCACCAGCCCACAAGATGAAGCTGCTCCAACGCCCCCAGAGCCTCCAGGACTCGCCACAAATCGGCAACCCTCTGCCCCGGCAGATCACAATTGCCCGAAAGCCGCAACCATCGCCAGCAGAGGTTGATCCGCCTGCCCAGCAGCCCGTCATGATGGTGCTGCACAAGTCCTCCAATGAGTACGATGCAGCCAGCTATGCCACGCCCACCAGCAACCAGACAGTCAAGATACTGCGTCGCCCCGCCCAGGCCGAGGAGCGGCGGGACACCAACGGGATGCGGCCCAAGCAGCCCATCAAGACGCTCAAGCAGCGCGAACAGGAGTACGCCGAGGCCAGGCTGCGCATCCTGGGCGCGGCAAAAAACCCTGAGGATGATAAACCGTGAGTAACTAGCACGTGAATTTTTATTACAAAATTTTTGTATTAAAAAGCAAATTATATTGGCAGTTTTTATTACATTTCTCAGTTATGAAAGTTATAGCTAAAGAAACAGGGTCACCGTAGATCGTAGCAAAATATGTAATGCCTATTCAGTCTCTTTTGCTTAACCTCTAAGCTTTTAATTAAAATTACAAAATAGTGTTAATTTGAAAGTGCTGATAAAATTAGATGTTCCCATGGCATTTATTTTTGTTTAAATATATTTTAATGCAGTATTACATTTAAAATATTGTTTAACGTTATGAGAACTAGTAGAGGGAGTTATTTTTTTTAGTTTTCATAACGTTGAACTGAATCTTTTATTTAGCGGAAAGCCAATTAATAAACATATTTTGTTAATGTGCCTAGTGGGGCAGACTTTGACTTTTACTATAATAACCTTTGTTGCGGTGTAAAATGCTTAATTTTATCTTGTCCAGAAAACTTTAAGGGAACATTAGTTATTATGCCTCTTAGTAAATCCATCTTTTTGCCTTAAAAAAATAAAACACTCGAACCGAGTTCTAAATGTGGTCATATGTATATATTTTGTCAAAAATCTAATGCAGCTTTTCTTTCTTTTTTAATTTAGTGCTGCTCCCAGCTCGCCAGCTGTAAACAGCAGCAGTGCGGCTGCGCCGCCCTCGGCGCCTTCTGCCACTCCCCCTGCTGCCAGCAGCAACAACAACGTCATTAACAATAATGGTAGCCATCCAGCAGCGGGAATGCATCGCTCCAGCTCGGCGCCAAAGATGTCCCAGGTGTCGCCGATGTATAATAACTACAACAGCTACTTCCAGGGGCCGCACAATCAGCCAGGCCTGAACTATTACTATCCGCATAACCCGCAACAGCAGCAGCAACAACAGCAACCGTCGCCCTCGATGCAGCCGCACTTCAACCAACGGCTGCCGCCGTATGGAGGCGGAGGATCGGGACTGGGAGGAGTTGGGATGCCGGCTCAGGCGCCGCCCCAGTCGTCGCCCAATCCCCAGAGTTGGTCACCAGTTGTAGGCGGATCCGTATCCGCTGCTCTACTGCGCCAGCAGTCGATGCAATCCCCACAGCAGCAGCAGCAGCATCAGCAGCAGCAGCAGCTCGCTCAGCATCCGCATCCCTTCAACGACCTCGTCCTGCGTTTGCCCAAGGGTCCTTGTCCAAATGGCTCCATTGGCTTTCAAATGCGCCGGTAACATCGGTAACAGCGATGGAGAGTGGCCTGTTTAATTCAAGAAATTCTTATTTTCATCTTGGTACATTGATTCCAAATGCATGTTTCTATATATAAAAAAAAAAAAAAACAACCGAAAACAACAACCCACGAGTCATTCTGAGATTCTTTGTCGCCAAACCTTCGGTGTGGCGCATGTTGGTTGTTATATTCACTGGCTAAACCCAAGCATCAACAACTATAAAACAAATTTTATGACGGACTATGGTAGATATTTTGTAAATTTACAACTCACACCACACAATTTTGTATAATGCATACTAATAAAACGAAACAGTAATTTTAAAAAGTGATGCAAGCAAAACCAAATTCGAATTCTAAAGACCAGAGTGGGCTTAGATATTTTCCAGAAACATGGTTTTTAAGGATCTGATGGAAGGAAAGTGACTCATTCCGCTTATTTTTCTGCCTTCTCTGATTATTTTTGATGGAGTACAATGATCCCAAGATCTGAATTCGAATATTGCCTGTTGCTGTTCAATACCCAATTAATCAGCGGATGTTGGTTTGAACTCGTTTTCCACCTCATTAAGCCGTAGCAATGGTGTATATTTTTTATTACATTTCCTAACTTATCGATGTTAGGTTGGCTAAACGTTTGACATGGATATTATTAAGAGTGCATAGATATTTTAAAATATGTTGGCTTTACCAAATATGATTTTTATTATGAGAAGGCCCAAAAAGCTTTGAGCTTTATTCTCGAAATATGTTTAACCAGAGCTTTTATCTTACAGCTGGTATATGAAGTCACATAAACAACATAAGACGAAAAGTTCTAGATCGTTCTTATGTTATTTTCTGCCTTTAAAAAAATAAGCTCAATAACCGATGCAATTTCAGTTACATTTACCCCCAGCGATCGCTGATTTTTCAGAGGTCCCGAAAGGCTATCGTCGTGTTTTTGTTATTTATTCGCTTCAGTTAAATCCGATCTGTTGGAAAACAACAAACAGAGCAGTACACAGAAAAAAAGGGTAGAGTATCTGGTTCTGGTAGCCTGTTATTGACATAATAAACTACGATATATCATTCATGTATGTATATTTGTATTATAAAAATGCAAAATAAAAATAAAATCTTAGGCTGACCAAAGTATATTGTCAATCCGCATATTATGATCAATAGTAAACAAAATTAAATTACGTTTTTCTGTGTGTATTCAAAAATTGCAATCTTTCCACTGGAATCGCTCTTATCAGCCCCCCAACCTGAACACAAACATAAACAGAAATGTATATATGTATGTATGTATGTACATACATATGTGACGACTGAACACATCTACCTAGGCACTGGGCCCTAGCGTTTGCTACCCATGGAAGTAGATTTCAACTTCAATTTCAGTTGAAAACGAGGCGTCCAACAGAGCGGTGTTGATTCAAAAGCCGCTGGAACAGCTGGAAGAATACCATTGTGCTCTCTCGCGCTCTCACTCTCTTTTGATCGCCAAGCCAACACGTGGGCGTGCATTAATAGAGCGATATTATTGCTTTAAAAACGTGATTAGTTTTTGCGGATTCCGAACCTAAATATGTCGCATATCGTTCTGGTAATTGGAAGCGGCGGTCGGGAGCACGCGATTTGCTGGAAGTTATCGCAATCCCCGAAAATTTCCAAAATATACGCCTTGCCCGGCAGCCATGGAATTAAGCAAGTGGACAAGTGCCTCAATCTGGACGCCCAGACTTTGGATCCTAAGGATTTCGAGGTAGGTTTGTTATCCCGTCCTTGGATTGACCTTCGTCCGGGGCTTCAAGTTACAAAAATCAGCGAGTTTGTTGACTAATTGGGGTGCGGGGGGGGCAGCTTCAGCAAAACATCTTGTGGATTCTTCGGTAATTAATTCGTTTGATTTCGTTGTTATGCCATGGGGGACTCGCTTTTATGGCTTCTGACCATGGTAAAATATGATCTGCATGCTGGCAGAGAACTTTAATGCTGCAGCGGCAGCCGTAAATCCGTAATCGAGACTGGGAAGGCGTTTTATTGCAGCCGATCTCTGATAGGCGCTTGTGTTTTAACCCGTCGGCGGGCCAAGGGGCTGCGATTGCAAGTTGTGCTGAGCTGATTAGTGATCAGATCAGAGATTATAGAAGTCTATTAGTCTGCCTAACCCTAAACAAAAACACATTCTCTTAATAGAACGTTTATATATTTCACATAATTTCCATAAGCTTACAAAAGATTTATGAGTTATGGAAAATTAAAGCTGCCAGATTCACATTGGGAACGATCTTTATTCAAATTTTCAATAAATTGACATGCGTAAATATGTAAGTCCCAGTATTTTGTTTTGTTGTTTGACTTGTTTGGAAGAAAATAAAATAAACTGGGAATTATAGTGCTCTCTTAACCTATTTTCAATAATTTTTTTTAAATTAAATATTTTTATTTTTAATTTAAATATTTTATTCAAACTTTTTTTTCTTGTTTTAAAGATACATATTAAATAAAGTTTTGTAAATTAAAAAAAAAATAATTAAGAACTTGGCTATTACTGCGTCATTGGACGAAGGAAAAAAAGAAAAATATTTTATTTTTGCCAGACATTTTAGGAAAAAAAATTGTAATTGAAAAAAAAAATCGTTCGTTCAAGGCCCTGTAAATTATATCTCGAAGTATTGTGCAAAATTTCATTAAGATCGGCTGAGTAGTTTGTGAGAACTCTTGACAACAGACTAAAAAAAAAAAAGCTTCGTGAAAAAGGCGTTTAAAATTTAAAGATTCAAGCTACATTAAAATTGGAAAGCAACTTTCAAATTTCACTCGGAAAAACTTGAAAACGTAGGACAATACTCTACAGCTGTTATAGAATTTATTAAAAAAAAATTATATTTTTTGAAACCGTGAAACCCATGTAACTAAATGGAACTTTGTTGTTCAGTGGAACACTTTTTGCTTCTAGAATAAATACCAAATTTTATAAATGGTTTTCTTTCACAACTGAAAGTGAGTTTTTATTATAAACCTGTTTAAATACTTCATCTACTTCGTTTAGGTTAATTAATTATAGCAAGTAGACTCGGTAACAAAAACGTCTTCTGAATATATGTTTCAGATAAAAGAACTTCTAATTGATTTTTGGTTATACAATTTCGAGTCAAACTCAGTTCTTGCCTTTGAAATAACAAAGTTGTATTCGTTTAAAAGATCTACAATATTTTTTTTCAAATATATATATATTTTTATATATATAACTTATCAAACATCCAGAAAGACATCAAACTTTGTAGCTTTCACCCAGACAGCTTTTAAACTGAGAGATTTGTTTGCGTAGAAACAGAAAAATGGACATGGCTAGATCGACTCTTCTAGCTATGCTCATGAAGAATATATATACTTTAAATGTAAATGTGTTCTTCACTGCGTTGCAAACTTTTGACTGAAATATTAATACCCTCTGCAAGGGGATTTGGCCCGCTGCACCAAAATATTTTATTTTATTTTTTTAATAGGTATCTTTCCGTCTACAGCGATTGTTTATGAGCAATCACAGCTGGTATCTATTTTGATTTTAAGGCTGGACATTTAAAAAAATTGGTTCAACTAAGCTAATTTTTTTTCCTTGGCTTTTATATAATAATATTAAAATAATAGTTCAGGGATCAGTAACAGGTACCTTTCACAATTGAATTCTCAAATTAGACTGCTCCTTAAACATTCCGTTAACCCTAATTTATGAATGCGATCTAGTAAACAACAATGTTTATGTCGTGATCTATCAGTTTAAGTAGACAAGTCAGCAGATTTTACATTTCAGCTTACGCTTGCTTAGCTTATTTATTTATTGTTTTTATTGCTTGTGGCTTAATTAATTGCTTAGATCAAACTTCACAGATTCGCCTGGTGAATTCCTAAGAGACCAAACCCTCCCCCCGCCAAAAAATTTCCGACCATCGATCATCAATGCTTCGAAGCGCCTCGTCTTTCTCGCAAAGGTCGCAATGTTGTCGTGGGCGGATGGGTGAGGTATATGGTTTTCGGTGTGGTGCTCTGTCGGGTTCTTGGAGTCGTTGGTTCCTGGTTTTTCCGCGAATACACATTGAACGCAGCCGCATCGTGCTCCACGGTCTTGAGCTCGCCGGTGTAGTAATCCTTTATCTGGTAGGGATGCGTTCGGATGTACTCCAGAGCGCGCAGTATGTAGGCCGGCACCTCGGGAATGTGGGCGCCCACAGGATGGTAGCCAAACTCGTCGGCCACATAGCTAACACTGATGACCTCGCCTTCTGGCGAGGTGTAACTGTTGCCTCCCTGGACGGAAACGCCACCCAGTCCCTCCTGCGAGGCGGATATTCCATTGGAGGTCTCGTAGGCGTACCGGTAATTACCATCCCGCTCCACCTGTAGATCGTTTTGCAGGGTCCGTGTGTTTCGATCCGAATCTGGGACGTAGGAACCGGCCTGCACCTGCATCACGGCCAACGCAATGATGAAGTTCACCTGTGGGTGGACAAGGACAAGACAACACATCGATTATAATCCGTTTTCGGGGAATCCCTGGTTGGCAGGCAGTCTAGGCTTACAAGCAAATACATGATGTCGCGTTCGAGTTTGGTTCTAAACTGCTTGTCTGCTTCGCGGACGCTTTCGTATTTATATCCATCCGTTCACCATCGGATTTTTGGCAGTATTTCGCTTCGGAAACCCAGTTCCGAGCCGCCGTCTCCATCTCCGCTCGTCATCATCAACTGCTACATCATCGCTGTTGGTTGCCTTAGTCAGTCATAAATAAAATGATTTTATTTCTTATAAGTATTATTTTATTTAGGTATCAACGACGTTATTTGTCGTTGTCGCCGTTGCAATTCCCAAAGTGTGGGATGGTTAAATCCAGCAAAACGGAAAGAAGAGTGAAAATTAAATGAAACATTCGTGAATGGATATGCCCTACTCGAAGGTTGGGGCACTTACGCTTTGATGTGTATTGTGGCTGATCTTGAAAGTTTCATATTGCCTTGCTTGACTTACATTTTCAAGGAACTCAAAATACCATGGCGATCGTTGAACTGGACTTTCGTATATATTTTTTATGTCCTGTATTCTGTGTTTTGAAATTTTAGTAAAATTGCTTCCACAGTTACCCGACAACAGGCCTATTAGGAAATTAAATCATTATTTTAATACCTATTTAGACGTTCTAGATTTTTTCAGAGAATAGTAATTCGTCGTTGTGTTAATTTAACTTCATAGGAAATGACATTTAGGTAAAACCACCTAGTTTTATTTAAAAATTTTTTACAGCTTAAATGCCATGTGTGGAAACTTTGGATTAAGTATAAGAAAGCTTAATTACTACTTGGTCTCCTTCATTTTTCATCCCCTTTATTTGTATAGTTATTCTTAGAAATTGCATAGTTCGATCATTAAGCTCAGCATAGGTGTTCTGATAAATGATCTTTGGATTTTCATCGCCAAACTTATAATTGAATCACTTGGCAGATAGTTAGACGAAAGTATCTGCCAAACATCTCCGTCTGAAACTTTTTTGGCCGAATCCAAAAACCCGTCCGGCTAATTCAGCAAAGCGTATCTAATTCCTTACTTATCCGCAAACAAATGTGGCAACATTCTTTGCCACCCTCACCCCCACTTCTTCCAGATCCCATTCTCCCGCACTTAATTTGCATATAATACAGTAAATCATGAGCGCACTCTGTAAAGCATAAAGACGAAAACGTTCTAACCAAATTTGGGAATAGCCAGTCGGAGAATCCGAGTTATGGCAGAGCCAAAAAGCCACAGCCACAGTATTAAAAGTTGTTGATCTTTCCCCATCTCCCTGTTTTTCTTTGTTCGTTCCATCTGTCATAAGCGCTGCACACAACCTTCGTTACGGGAAATTAAAACCTTGGCCGAGTTTGGCAAATAGGTCTTAATTTGGAAAGTCAAATGGCTCCACTAAAACGTCATTCCGTGCGAACGTTCTTGAACCCTGGGAAACAAGCGAACCGGATGGGGGGACGGCTATCGGAAATCGGGATGAGTCTCCCAGGTGCTAAATGGTCTGGAACGCAGCCAAGTGCAATGTCGACACGTTTCACCAGATCGGGGTAATCCGACTCTGCGTTGGCGCCAATTCGAATTAGAGCTAAGTAACGATATCGACGACGCTGCTCCGAAACCGGACCAGCGATCGAGCTCGGGATTAACTTGGTTTGTTGACATGGCTGACATAGCTGGCGCCTGAGTCAGTTGATCTCCCATCTGAACAATTTGAAGACAATGCACCCCCAGACCCAGTTTAATGGCAAGACAATTAGGAAGGCATTTTGTATTTTGGCGACAAATTGGCGATGGAACCGGTTACTTAGAGGAGTGTTATCTCCCATTTGGAATGTGGTTACAAAAATCAAAAAAACCCAGCACTTTGGGCACCCCAAGAAGATTCGGACGATCGTGACCCGGTTTGATTGCACAAAACCAATTTTGATATCTAAATTTAAGATTTTTATTACAGACAGAGATTACAGATCAATTTGAGTTGCATATTATAAGAATCAAAATTAGACTAATGAGTACGATTATCGTTAATATGATATCAAAGTTAATTAAGTAATTCGAATTCAACTTTGCGAGCTTAAACAACGGTTATCTGATAATATTTTATCCAAAAGACTTGTTTTTGCAATCTAAATAAATTGATGGATATTTGTTATGAGCAACTCAACAAATTATATTACAAGCATTTATTATTATTATACTAACAAGTTGATATAAAAACGCAATCTTCCTGTTGGTCTCCATTTTGTGTTCAAATTAAATTATATACTATTGTTCTCTTTTTAGGCCATTGCCAAGTGGAGCAAGGAAAATCAGATTTCCCTAGTGGTTGTGGGACCCGAAGATCCCTTGGCCTTGGGTTTGGGCGATGTGCTCCAGAATCATGGAATCGCCTGCTTTGGACCTGGCAAACAAGGTGCCCAAATCGAGGCGGACAAAAAGTGGGCTAAGGACTTTATGCTGCGTCATGGCATTCCAACGGCACGCTATGAGAGCTTCACGGACACGGATAAGGCCAAGGCATTCATCAGAAGGTGTGGTTACAAGCTATGGCTTTTTTTTGAGTGAAAGTAATGTATATTGTCTCCTTTAGCGCCCCTTACCCAGCTCTGGTGGTGAAGGCCGCTGGTTTGGCGGCTGGAAAGGGCGTGGTGGTGGCTGCCAATGTGGACGAGGCCTGCCAAGCGGTGGACGAGATCCTGGGACAGCTGAAGTACGGCCAGGCGGGATCCACACTGGTGGTAGAGGAGCTGATAGAGGGCGAAGAGGTGTCCGTGCTGGCCTTCACCGATGGCAAAAGCGTGCGGGTCATGCTGCCCGCCCAGGATCACAAGCGTCTGGGCAACGGGGACACGGGTCCGAACACCGGAGGCATGGGCGCCTACTGCCCATGTCCCTTGATCAGCCAGCCAGCCCTCGAACTGGTCCAAAACGCAGTGCTGGAAAGGGCAGTAAAGGGTCTGGTCAAGGAGCGGATCACCTACCAGGGCGTTCTCTACGCGGGACTCATGCTGACCCGTGACGGCCCTCGAGTCCTGGAGTTCAACTGTCGGTTTGGCGATCCCGAAACGCAGGTTATCCTGCCGCTCCTCGAAACCGATCTCTTCGAAGTAATGCAGGCCTGCTGCACAGGACAGCTGGACAAGGTTCCCCTGCAATGGCGCAATGGAGTTAGCGCCGTAGGTGTGATCCTAGCCAGTGCTGGCTATCCAGAGACCTCCACCAAGGGATGCCTTATAGCCGGTAAATTAAGTTTTCAACTCTCTTGGAACTTCTTAATATTCTATATGATTTTTTCAGGACTGCCGGCCGCCAATTCCCCCACTCAATTGGTTTTTCACAGCGGCCTTGCTGTGAATGCAAAAAAGGAAGCCTTGACCAACGGCGGTCGGGTCCTTATCGCCATTGCTCTGGACGGCAGCTTAAAGGAGGCCGCCGCCAAGGCCACCAAATTGGCTGGCAGCATCACCTTTTCGGGATCTGGAGCTCAGTACAGGACGGACATTGCCCAGAAGGCAATCAAAATGTAATTAATTAAATTAAACCCAGAAGTCATTGAAAACAGAAGTATCATTTTTAATTTTCATACTATCAAATTAGATTCTAGACCCATCATAACTTCGAAAAATTATGAAAAAGCTTTACACAAACAAACAGTAATAAAAACAATTTAAACTTTTTATTTTTACACAACACAACATAGTTATGATTTAATATTTGCTTTATTGTCTTCAATAAAATGTATCTATTTGCTCATGTTCTTTAGAGAACAGTCTTAAAAACTCCCTGACTTTAACTTATTAGATGACATGAGCGAGAACATTTGCATTCTGGAATAGTAGTTACAAAATCTAATTCACTTAAAATATTGTACTCAAGGGCAAACATATGGTCTATGAGATTGCAAATTTAAAAAAAGTTATAATCTTCACAGTTAACATTTAACTCATAGCTTATAGGTTAGTAACCAAATTTCTATATCGTCATGATTTTTCGTATACCCTTTATAAGAAAACATTTATAAGATTGCAAATATAAAAAAAAGTAATAATCTTCACAGTAAACATATTACTCATAGTTGATTTTTTCGTATACCTTTTATAAGAAGACATTTCTGAACGTATAAATTATATATATTCTTAATCAAGATGATCTATGTCGGTCTTTCCTTATAATTTTAAAGCTGCTAGACAAATGCTCACAAATTATAAATAATTTAGAATCCAGATTAAAATTTGCGTTATATTAAAGTCATTTAATCATCTTCATGACCGATTTTTTGTTTCTTTCTACACCTCTACCTCTACTTCTGTCTTCTCCCAAAAATGTCCGTACCTAGAGCTACTGCTGGCTCCCCGGGTCTGAGTTACAAGGACAGCGGCGTGGATATCGACGCTGGGGATGCGCTCGTGCAGCGCATCAAGCCCTTGTCCCGTGGCACCCAGCGTCCAGGCGTCCTCGGGGGCCTGGGTGGATTCGGAGGACTCTTCCGGATAAAGGAACTCAGCTACAAGGAGCCAGTGATTGCAGAGGCCACCCAGGGGGTGGGCGCCAAGATCCACCTGGCCCTGGAGCACGAGCTGTACGAAAACGTTGGCTACGACTTGTTCGCCCTGGCCGCCAACGATCTCCTGGAGCTGGGCGCCGAACCGGTGGCTTTCTTGGACTACATTGCCTGTGGCAAGCTGCACGTTCCCCTGGCCGCCCAGTTGGTCAAGGGAATGGCTGACGGTTGCCGCGATGCGCGGTGCGCATTAGTTGGTGAGAGCATGGTCAAAGTACTTTTGATCCGCCAATCCCTAATCCAATATCGTAATCCTTCTTTTAGGTGGCGAAACTGCCGAGATGCCATCTCTTTATGCGCCCGGTCAGCATGACATGGCTGGCTACTGCGTGGGAATCGTGGAGCAATCGCGGATCCTGCCCCGCTTTGATCTTTACCAGCCGGGTGACCTCCTCGTCGGTCTGCCCTCGTCTGGACTCCACTGTGCTGGCTTCAACGAGATACTCACCCAGTTGGCTGCGTTGAAAGTGAATCTCAGGGATTGCTCGCCCGTTGACGGTGGTGAGGATGGCCTGACCTTGGCTCATGTCCTGGCCACGCCCACACGCCAGTATGTCCAGCAGTTGCTGCCTCATCTCCAAAAGGGCGATGAGATCAAGGCGGTGTCCCACGTTACCCATGGTCTGCTGAGCGATGTCCTGCGCCTTCTGCCCGAAGGTTATGAGACGACACTAGACTTCGGGGCGGTGCCGGTGCCCAAAATCTTTGGCTGGCTGTCAGGCAAGCTGAAGCTCAGTGCCCAGGCGCTCCTGGAGCGGCACAACTGCGGCATTGGCATGGTTCTGATCCTGCCGCAGTCGAGTCAACTATGGCGGACATCCCTGCCAGGAGCCAAAGTGCTGGGTGTCCTGCAGCGGCGGTCAAAAACCAGCGGGTCACCCGTTCAGGTGCGCAACTTTGTGGAGCAACTGCAGAAGGTGGCCTCTCCGTTCGGTGGCCTTGGCGAGCGTGAGCTACCCGAGGAGCTGAAGGAACTGACCGCCAAGCTGAGCCTAGCACCTCCTCGTGAAGAGTGCTTTGAAAACGCGTCTGGGCGTCGGCTCACACGCATTCCCAGTCACTACGAGGACCCCATTCTCATCCTGGGCACCGACGGCGTGGGCACCAAGCTGAAAATAGCCCAGCAAACGAACCGCAACGCCAGCGTGGGAATCGATCTGGTGGCCATGTGCGTCAATGACATCCTTTGTAACGGAGCTGAACCCCTCAGCTTCTCAAGCTACTACGCATGCGGCCACTGGCAGGAGGAGCTGGCCAAGGAGGTCCTCTCTGGAGTTCAGGAGGGTACCAGGCAGGCCAACAGCAGTTTTATTGGTGAGTGGAGCCCGGCTCCTTTTTACATAAATATACCCTTGCATAGGTATAATTTCACTCAAAAGCTTGCTACGCTGTGAGGGAGACTACATAAAGTATATATATGTTCTTGATCAGTAGGATCACTAGGAGAATCGATGTAGTAATTTCTGCTTTTCGTTTTCTACACAAAAAGTCTCTTAGTTTTAAAGCTACCTATCTATCTATTTCTAATGCGGGTACACAAGTTGAATCACAAAGCTCACATACACCGAAAAAACAATTAAAAGTTATGTTTTAATAAGTGCGCCTTAAAAATAAACTACAGACAGTGTTAAGGTGATTCTGATTTCTATAATAAAGGCAATAATGAATAATTATTATTTTTATGATTTTTTTATACAAATTGTAAAATAACAATTATTCACAAGTTTATTTTAGAAATCAAAAGTTTTTTTCTTAAATATCAGGAATAACAGTGAAATAATATTTTTTATATTAAAAATCAAAAATATCAATAAAATTAAAAAAAAAAATGAAATAACTTTTAAACCACTTAAAATATAAAATAAAAGTTTTTAAAATGTTTATTATAATAATCCATTAAAAAAGTATATGTTTTTGGGTAGCTAACCAAAAAAAAATTCTATGACCCCCGTTTTTTTGGTAGTCTGTTTTTAACCTCATAAAAGTTATTTGCGGTTCCTGGTTTAAAATTCATGTAACAATAGTTAGGTTTCTACGACAATTTTTTTGGGTTTTTATAAAAATATGACAACATCAACCTGCCTGTCGTAAAACCGGTCAAAAAACTCATCGAAAAGTCGACATTGCTACATTTTTATATACAATAAGTATAAGGGTATTTAAACTTCGGCACACCGAACAGTTGAAATGAACAATAAATCTAGAATTAAATTCATTATATTATATATATACTTATAAACTATAAAAAGGGACTATAAAAACACAAGGATGTATCCGCAAGAAATTATAAATCAATCAATTCTAGTTGCTGACTTCACAGTGTTTCTTCAAACGTATAATAATTATTTGGGATCTAAGACTACACGAGTATTATTTTTTTTTGCTGATTAAAATTTTAATAATTTTTCGATGTTTTGAATTTTTTAGTTATTGGCTGTCCAAATTTTCATAGAGAATCAGGTGTTCTTTTTGTAATCCCACCATTGATCTAGAAAATCTCTTGTTTAATCCTTTCTAGCCTCACACAGTGCAGCTCTACCGCTGCTGTATGGGCCGCAGGTCTATGATCTGGCTGGCTTTGCCTTGGGCATAACTGAACGCTCCGGCATCCTGCCACTTCTGGACGAAATTCAGCCAGGAGATGTGCTCGTCGGCCTGCCTTCGTCCGGTGTCCACAGCAACGGATTCAGCTTGGTCCACGCCGTCCTAAAGCGTGTGGGACTGGGACTGGACGACAAGGCGCCTTTCAGCGAGAAGACGCTGGGCGAGGAGCTGCTGGTGCCCACCAAGATATATGTGCAGGCACTGTCCTCCCTGCTGTCCAGAGGGAATCACGGCATCAAGGCATTGGCCCACATCACAGGAGGTGGCCTCAGCGAGAACATACCGCGAGTGCTGCGCAAGGACCTGGCCGTGCGTCTCGATGCCAACAAGTACCAGCTTCCTCCCGTTTTCGCCTGGCTGGCGTCAGCCGGAAACATCAGCTCCACCGAGTTGCAGCGCACCTACAACTGTGGACTGGGCATGATCCTGGTGGTGGCTCCCACGCAAGTTGAGGCGGTGCTCAAGGAGTTGCGCTATGCCCAACGTGCTGCTGTCGTCGGGGAGGTGATTGCCCGCAAGGACACGAAGAAACCGCAGGTGCTGGTCCAGAACTTCGAAGCGTCGTTGGCCAGGACTCAGAAGATCCTATCGCTGCCGCGAAAACGAGTGGCCGTCCTCATCTCGGGCACGGGCAGCAACCTGCAGGCACTCATAGAGGCCACGCGGGACTCGGCCCAGGGAGTGCATGCGGAGATCGTGCTGGTGATCAGCAACAAGCCGGCTGTCCTGGGACTGGAACGTGCCACCCGCGCAGGGGTGCCGTCACTGGTCATCTCCCACAAGGACTTTGCCAGCCGGGAGGTCTACGATGCGGAGCTCACGCGAAACCTGAAGGCGGCTCGCGTGGATTTGATCTGCCTGGCCGGCTTCATGCGAGTCCTGAGTGCTCCGTTTGTTCGGGAGTGGCGTGGACGCCTCATCAACATCCATCCTTCGCTGCTGCCCAAGTACCCGGGGCTGCATGTTCAACGGCAGGCCTTGGAGGCGGGCGAAAAGGAGTCCGGCTGCACGGTGCACTTCGTGGACGAGGGCGTGGATACGGGAGCGATCCTAGTTCAGGCCGCAGTTCCCATTTTACCCGACGATGATGAGGACTCGCTGACGCAACGCATACATAAGGCTGAGCATTGGGCTTTCCCCAGGGCATTGGCGCTCCTGGCAAGCGGGGCAGTTCGACTTTCTCCGGAGGGAAGTCAGTGAGTTTGCGACAAAAGGTCTTATGACAACTTGAATGAAAATCACAGGAATGAATTAATCTATAGAGCGTACAAACATATGTGTACACTGTACCAATGTAAAGACATAATTCCCTAACTCAAAGACTAAAAACAAGTCGAATTAGTTTTAAATCCAATCTCTAATTATTTTTGCAAAAGTTTTGATAGGTTAAGCATGACGTTTTTTATTAATAAATATTATTTACAAAATTTATTGTTTGGGATAAACTTTACTTTATGGATTTATTAAGGGATGTGAATTTTTTGCATAAAATTATTTTCACCAAACAATATTTAATTAATTAAAAAAGGCATAAATCACTTAATTCGGAAAGGCATTTTCTCGTTTACTGCACACGCAACTTTGAAAAACTACTTCATTAATTTTAAAATATAAGAATTTTTTCACAAATTATGGAACGTGAACTTTTTTGCATAAAATTATTTTCACCAAACAATTAAATAATTAATTAAAAAACGGCATAAATCACTTAATTCGGAATTCGTTTACTCCATTCGCAACTGTAAGCAAATACTCCATTAATTTAAAAATATAAGAATTTTTTCATAATGCAAAGCGTAACTAGAAGCCCAGTTAGAAACATTGTAAACTTGGATACAAATAGATTAAAATCTTAATACAACATGTAACACATTTTGACTAGTATTTGTTTCTCTTAAAACCATAACCCTTTTTATTCAAAACATTTCATAAAATTTAAATAACAAAATTTAATTAAAATGTTCTTAAAAATTCAAGTACAGATCAATCTCTAGAATATTATTTTACAATAACATAAATCAATACAACTATTTCTTAATTTTCCCTTATCAATTCAAAATTGACGAGATAAAATCTTATCACAAGTTTATCATTTCTCTACGCTTGAAACTAGTATCACACACACATATCGATCACACATTTTCCATTACAATAGTTTGCTGATTAGGGAAAATAGACTGGTACTCGTACTCCCCTGACTCTCCACATGGCTCCTGGCTTTGGCTCTTACTTCGGGTCTGACTACGTTGCGCTGCAACTCCGGATCCTTGAATACGGACTCGGCCATCTTCTCAAGGTGCAGTCGAAAGAACTGGTTCTCCAGGATGGGCACTATCAGGTTGTACTTGTCGATCGTTTTGTTCAGCTGCTGGACATCCTCCTGGTGCTGCTTGGTGAAGCTCTGCCAGGCGGAAAGGTCCTCGGAGCGGGTCAGAGGCCACTCACCGTAGAAGATGCGCTCCTGACGCAGCTTTTGCTTCAGCTTGGCGACCGCATCTCTAATCTCCTTGCCCAGACTAATCCACTCCGGCGTGAATCCGTTGTCCAGCATAATTTTGTTCAGCTTGTGGGTGGTGAAGTCCAGGTAGGGATTCTGCGATTGGGTCGAGGACAGCGGCTTGCCGGCCCCATTGAGGTTGTTGAAGTCTCCCTTGGACATGGCCTCCTGGATGAGATCCTCGACCACCCGGTCGATGCCGTACTTGGTCTTGATGGCGTGTCTGCGAAAGTGGCCGCCGCCGCCCTTGGACATCAGGGTTTTCTCCCCAGCCGCCGCCTTGTCAATTCGGTGCTCGAGGACGCGCTCCTGGGCCTTCATGGCGCGCACCTGCTGGTACTGCTTCTGGCGCTGGAAGGGAGTGCCCATGCCGATGCCCTCGTTGGACAGATACTGGCGGTGTTGCGGCGCCGTGTGCCTGATGTCGAACTCCAGGGCCTCCTCCTCGTCCTCCTGGATGTTGCGTCTGCCCTTGGCGAACTTCTCCTGCAGCAACCTGAAGGCCTCGTCCACCTGCTGGAAGCGCTCGGCACTGGCCTCCTCGGTTCCCGAGTCCGGATGCACCCGCTTCACCAGATCCAAGTAGGCGTGGCGCACCGTGTTCTGATCCGCCGTCTCGTGCACGCCTAGTATGCGAAAGCATTCCTGCCGATGGTATTTGGGGGGACATTGCGTAACGGGCGGACAACTAAAGATCTTAGGAGTCTCGGACTCACCGTGTACACCTCCCTGCGTTTGAGGTGCAACAAGCGACCGGATGTACGGGCTATGGATCCTCCAAGCAGGTTTCCTGCCAGCCACATTTTTCTCCAAATATTTGTGATTTTCCAACAAACGACTTTTATATCTTTTTTTTTTGGTTTTGGCAGCAGCCTGGCGTTTAATTCATTTCTCCTACTATCAGCATTTGTTTATTTTTTTTCGAGGTGATCAGCTGTTGGGCAAGTTTTAGCATTTATATACTGCACTCGCCGAGTAGTACATTTTTTCGGTATTTTTTCTTTATGGTCACACCCAGGGATGGGTAATTTTACAAGTTACTGTTACAATTTGAATTCGATTAGAGATTTATTAGCTTATTTTCCCTTTAATAGACGCAACTATTTGTTAAAACTTTAAAAGTTATCGACTATTTAATTTTTAATATATACATTGCAACATTTTGGAGCTGTGTACCCATAAATTATTACTAAGCAGTGACATACTATAGATAACACAGTATCGATTATCTCAGAATTTTGATCGTAAAGCGAATCAGTTAAATGTTAAATGTATTAGGTTAACATATTTTAAGAAGAGGCTTTCAATTTTTTAGGGCATTAAAATAAGTAACTTGTAGCGCTAGAAAGAAAGAATTAAATAATTAAATAATAATAAAATGAAAACCTTAATGATAAAAAAGGAAATCAGTACTCGAAGTTTATTCGAATTAATTGAAAAACAGCAAAGTTTTAATTTGTTTTCATTGATTTTTCCAATTTTTCCGACCCCTTCAGACTTAAATACTAACTGCAAACCAAAGAAAACTTTTCGGAAGGGACAGACGATCATAGCTAGATCGACTCTCCCACTGATGCTGATCAGAATGTATGTAATTTATAGGGCCGGAAATGTATCCTTCCCTGCTTTGACAAAATTGGCTGAAATTATTTAACATTGGGCAAAGGACACAAAATATTGCAACAGGATTTCGGTAGACTGCCTGCATTCAGCACCATTGTCAAAGCCTCTAATATACTCCCACAAAAACTTGTTTGTTTGTAATTTAGTCCTTGTAATTTAGCTTTTACTCCGTTTCTCTTTCGAGTGTACTTTGAGAAAATGTAAACTTAACCTTATATAAGAACATTTGTACTCAACCGAAATTGTTTTATTTTCGCCACCATTTTCAGCTCAATTATAACATCAAAAAGTAATTTATAAATTTTATGTTAATTCGATTAAAATTTAAGGTATCCCCTTAAAAGTTCCGCAAGCTTTATTTTTTTTAATGTAATCCGCTCTCAATGTAATCCACAAGAGAAAATATTTTCATTGAGCAACACACAATCTTCCACACCAACTATGTGCAATTAAAGTCTGGCGTTGACCAAATCTGCAATTCAAAATTTAATTCATGCTCTACATATGTATGTAGACTGCAAACTAATTTCTGTTCTGGGTAATCGTGCCACAATTAAAAGAAAAATATTTAAAAAAGAAGACGAAACTACTTTTCTCTTCGGTCGCTCTATATAGCAAATATGCTTGAGATATAAAAATATAAAATTAAATTAAGAGGGCTAAATCTACATTAACCGAAAATGTAAATTTAAATGAAATAATGTTGTGTTAAAGAAGTTTAATACTTTAAAATTGAGAAAATGCATTTATTCATTTATGCATTTATTAAAAACTTGTGATGCAGAAATACATTTATTGCTTACAATTGGTTGAATAATTATGATACAACTGATCTGCTGGAGTTATTGCTCCGATTTGTTTGGGTTACCGGTTTGGGCAGTTGATGTTGATGTTATGATCTCTTTTCCTAGCATCCCGTTTGGCCTGTTTTATGCGGCCCATTAGCATACATACGAACAGGATGTGCACATGCTTGATCCAAATTCTTTTGGTTTTCCATGTCGGAGATCAATTTGTGCCACGGTTGTTCTATTCATCATCGTCCACAATATCGGGCGTATATAGATCGAATAATTCGAGAAATTGGGCAAACTTCTTGCCTAAATAGCCGCCTAACAGAATGCCAGGTATGACAGTGCCCATAATGCCAATATATAGGTGTTTGTTACTACTCTTTGGAATTTTTTTGAGTTCCTTGAAATCTTTGTGCGTATCGTCTCGACCAAATGGCATTTTCAATATTTTGGTGTAAGTAGCTGCTGAAGTGTTTTTAGGAAATCGAATACAACATTATTCTGATGGAAATGTCAAGACTTTCTCCGGCCAAATTTGGCCAGGCACGGCCCAGAATCTAAAGTCGGACCGAAACCCTCACGCGTTTGCCGGAATATTTAAGTGCGCGCCCCATATGGCACTTCCGTTCTGCTGGCTAAACCTTCTGATTTTATCAATTGTCTGATTGTCTTCAATTGGCTGGCAATTGTCTACGTTTCCGTCTAAGGAGGTGAATTGTCTTTAATTTAAATATTGGACTGCAGAGGCAAGAAGGATGGTCAAAGTTGGAGATACTGTAATTATTTTCCAAAACATAGAAACAGAAAACAGAACATACTTCAGAAGTCATTAAAGAATTTCCTCTCTTATATTTTGTACCGTCTTATCTTCTTGCCCTTTACTCCTAAACAACATTTTTAATTATACTCATAAAATGATGATTTGTTGTTTTGAAAAGCAAAACAAAATAACCCCATGAAGATTGCTTGGAGGAAGTCTAGTTGAACCGCTTACCCCGTAATTATATTAATTTATTTTCTGATTGTGTGAATTGTATCTTTAAGTCTGATTTATGTTTCAACAAGAATCAGGTAATTTTTCTGTATCATGCCTTAATATTTGAAAATTAGAGGTAAAACCAAAAGGACACCATTTAATAAACATTTTTATTTTTATGTTTTGCCAGTTCAAGGTCAAGCATTTTTGTAAAAATAAATAACAAAAGATTATTCTTTTGTTCGATTTGTATTAAAAATGTATTGTACATACAAAATTAGTAAGAACCCTCGATCTATATTGGTCGTTCCATAATTAATAATTATAAGTTTTACTTATAAATCGCATTTGGTCAATATTGGGCTGATTATGGGAAAATTCAATACAAAGAGAAGGAAAAAACTGATTAAAACAAGGTCAATACAACCTTCGTAGACATAAAATGAAGAAGATATAAATTGATTTCAGCCACTTAAACGGAGGAATTTAATGACTAAGAAATCTTAATTTAATGGTTTACTCCATTTCCCATTGACTCTTTGATAAGGGTTGTTTTCGGAATCCTTCTAGTTTGGTCTTTAGAAAGAGCAAACTTGATAGTTGGGTAAAACATACCATTAGTAGCTCAATTACTCTGCAATAATAAGGATTTATTTAACTCATAAAAATTTAATGTGCGAACATTTACTCTTATAGAGGGTTCGTTGCTTAAGTCTTTCGTTAGCCATTAATAGATTTCGCTTCCGTTTGGCATTTCGCACGTCTTGCATAGTTTATGGCTCCGTGAGGGATAGAATGGGTAATTACAAAAAATAAATGAGTAAAGAAAGGCCTGTTTCAAAGACTTACAAGGGGTATGAGTAATAATCCCTCTTTTATGACCCACTCTATTTTGCGGGTGAACCCTTTTAGCAAGTTCGTTACTTGAGTTACTCGTTACACTTTGTAGGATTCGGCTTCCGTTGCGCGGCAATGTTTGAAAACAGTTAGCAACCCAAAACCGGTGGGTGGGTAAAACCCACAGTCGTCTTCACATGTCCCGGGTAACTGACTGAAATTTCCCAGGAAACAAGGACGACACGACTAATCCTGCCGAGACAATGCAGCCCACGTATTTGGCTAGGTAGCGTTTCTGCGGCGAATTCGCACAGCCGGCTAAAACTCCAGGCCGTCTTTTCAGCCGAATCCAACGGCGGCGAACGACGATCGACATGCCGGCTCACCAGCCGCTAAAACCCATATAGAAACCTAAGAAAGCCGAAGCTTTCGGGGCTTTAGTTTGCCTTCGACTGTGGCGCGTAGTGGACGTTCAGAGGCTGCGGCGAACCCAACCTCTAGACAAGTGTATGTATCGATCCCACTGGGTTTCTGTGAGTGAGTGTGAGCCAACGAACGAAACGAATCGAAACGAAAGCCGTTAAGAAGCCGCCTGAGAAGGCAAGAAACGAACGGCCATAGGAAAATCTGTAAAACGGGCACGTCGAGCTGTTTTATTTTCCTCGCCAGTCTCACATTTCTACCAATACCAATACCTATACCTATACCTGTACCTATACCAATACCTATACCTGTACCTATACCAATACCTATACCTATACCCATAGCTATCTTTTCTGGCCTGCTCCTCGTCTTTTTCTTACCTTCTTGCTTTTTGCTTTCTGCTGTCGTGTCTTGTGGTCTCTGTGTGCGTGGACTGAAACTTCAGCTTCAGGTGCAGGCCGCGCTGAGTTTGGTGAACAAGTTTCAGTCTGAGTTTGGCCTTCGTGTGGCATGGTACAGTAAACGCTCCTCGGGTTTTCAGACATCTTTGTGTCCTAACTATAAGTGCTTGTGCAGTCTATGAATGTATTTGGCTGGAAACTGGATTTTATTCAATTGTTTTGCGCAGCAATGTGTTTGATTTTGTGTTCGTGTTTGTTTGCTGGCTAGCGAAAAAAGGATTTCTGTGCATTTTAATGGAGGCGCGTGCTTGGATCGTGTGTGTCTTATGAGGAAATTGACGATTACATGGCAGCCAAAGAAAATAAAAGGAATTTTACATTTTGTAAAAAGTGTAATGGACAATCCTACAAAATCAGTGCATAAACAAATAACAATAAATACCAGCAATTAATTTAATGAATATTTAAGATATTTTTTTAAAATAATATCCAAAGCCGAAGATTTTTTTTTACAAAAACAGGAACTCCATTTTAAGTGGAACAGTATTTCTTCTTCAGAGCTATGCCGCTATTATTCTTTTATGTTGTTTTTAACCAACCAAGTTAGTTGAACTTCTAGCATAATTTGTTCTCCGTAGTTTCTTTGCTTCTCTTGAGCGGTTCGGTTTTTACCAGTCCATTAACTTGTCTGTGCCTTTTGCACTTTACTTTGTTAACTGACGTTAGACTACCGCCAAGTCGAGTACCTGTGTGAGTAACTAGTCCATCCAAGGGGAGTAACACACTCGGGTACTCACTTCGCACGCCAGCTGCGCATTTACGCTCCCATTACCCGCGTAGGAATAACAAACACACGGGAATAAGAAGCAA